ATATATATATATATATATATATATATATTGAGAATATATATATACTATATATAATTTAGGGTACATTTCATGTCCATTGATGATAATTATATATATTTTTTTCTAGCAATTTTCTTCAGAAACAGCATATTTTATTCATTAAGATATATAGTACTATCTCACAGATATATTTTATGCACTGTTTCTCAGTTTGCCTGAAATTGTCTTTATGTCCCTTAAATTACAGTTTTTGTGATGTCTGCTTTTTAAATTGATAAAAAATAATGAATAAACATGTTCAAATCAAGATTATTTATATATCTAAATATTTTAGAAAAAAAATAGATTGAGTTTAAATAATTTCAAAATAAGAAAATATTTCATTTTACTCATGTGTGCAAAAATTCTGTCAACTATGTCAAAAACCAAACACTTCAAAACCGCTTCAGAAATGATTTATCACGAAGCCATGTGATGTAATTTCCTTCTGTGGTGGACATTTGAACACAATATTTTCAATATTTGATCTCCAATAACATATTGTCAAGGAGTATATTAAATGCCCATTAACTATGTTGTTATGGTTTGCAACATTTTTATGGTTTCAGTTCAAATAAACATTCAAATTTGAGGTTAACCTTATCAAGAAAATTTGGTTGCCATTGAAATTATGAGTCAAAATTGTGAAATGTCAGTCTGTAGAGTTTGCACTGAAAGGGAAGACATCTCTCAGTCTATGATTCTTAAACTGCATTAATGACAGTAATGCATCATGATGATGTTTGTGTGTGTTTTCAGGCTCGCAGTAAACAGAAAGGGGAATTCGCAGCCATTAAAATCATTAAAATGGAGCCTGGTAAGAGCTGAGTCTGACATACTGACCTGTCTGTAGATGATGCGCTGCTCACAGACCGTCTGTCTTTCACAGAAGATGACTTCTCTGTCATCCAGCAAGAGATCGTGATGGTGAAGAGCTGCAAACACAGAAACATCGTGGCGTATCACGGCAGTTACATCAGGTGAGAGAGCAAGCCTCACTGGAAACAGCAGAAGATACAACATGATGATGTTTCAGTAACACTTTTGAATTTGTTCATTCACTAGATACAAAATATCTCATCCAGCCAGTAAATTAGTACTGCTAATAAAATACATTTTCTAATTAGTAACAATTGGTTAGTTATGTTTATTTATTTTTTTTTAACGTTTTTCTTTTACACTGAATTATTAGTATTTTACTGCTTAAATAATGAAATTATCCTTTAAAAATGTTTAATAGGGTGGACAGAATTACTCTGGTCTGAACTTAGTTTTGATTGGACATAATATATAAAATATTACTGAATAAGTTTAAATCCTCAAGAATTGTGATAATCAAACAGAAAACAACAAATTTACAAAACAGCAAGAAAAGCTTACAGTTTTTTCCAATTGCTAACACACAATTTTTCAAACGTCATTTTGAATGGCAGTGTTTTGAAATGGCAAACATGTGACTTTATGTCAGATTGTTGTGTCTTATGCAGAGAACTGTGTTCAGTGCATTTAAAAAGTGCCATTTTGAAATGCAAAATGTGTGTAAAGCAGAAAATGTGTTTAGACTTTTGGAGACTTGAGAAGAAGTTTTGCTCTCTGTGTGTCAGTTTAAATAATTGTGCTGTGCATGTCATTTTAGCGTGTTAGCAATTGGAAAAAACTGTAAATAGAGTCAGCAAGCAGCAAAACAATAATGCTATTCCAGTAACCGCGTCATATCTCATACATGCTGGGAAATCACAAACCCAGTGTTGCTCATCTTTGGTCATCTTTGTTTGACTAAAACATTGAGGGGAATCTGTTGCTGTAACATGCGTGTGTATGTAGCGTCATGTAGTTCACATTTCTTTTGATTACTATCCGGTTAGGTCTCGTAAACTGGGAAATATGCAGCTGCTGTTTTTGTAGTGTTGTTCAGCATCAGCTCTCATTGTTTGTCACTGAAATCAGAATCAAACTCGGATGATTCTCATATCTAGAATAACAATGAGAGCTTGAGAACTCTTGAAAAACTCACAGACAACAGATGAATGGATGTGAATATAAGAGTAATCTGTGTGTGTCTGTGTCTGTGTGTGTGTGTGTGTGTGTGTGTGCTGCAGGATGAATAAACTGTGGATCTGTATGGAGTATTGCGGTGGAGGATCTCTGCAGGACATTTACCACGGTAAACAGGGCCTGCCGTCTCTCTCACACTGATGTTTTTACTTGTTAAATTGGTTTTGCATGACAGTCATGTGTCATAAAAAGATCTTCAGCCTCTCAAACGCTTTGGCTCTCTGAAAACAGCCCTGAACGCTGCGTGTGAAGAGAGTGTCCACTGTCACATCAGCTATATTATAATCAAATATCTATCATTTAAATGTTGCTTGGAAAAATGAATTCAATCAGAATATACAGCTAGACTTTTACTGTGAATCATTTGCATCCAAATGTGACCCTGGATCACAAAACCAGTCATAAGAGTCCATTTTTCGAAATTGAGATTTATGCATCATCTGAAAGCTGAATAAATAAGCTTTCCATTGATGTATGGTTTGTTAGGATCGGACAATATTTGGTTGAGATGCAACTATTTGAAAATCTGGAATCTGAGACTGCAAAAAAATCTAAATATTGAGAAAATCATCTTTAAAGTTGTTCAAATGAAGTTCTTAGCAATGCATATTACTAATCAAAAATTAAGTTTTAGGTACGGAATTTACAAAATATCTTCATGGAACATGTCTTTACTTAATATCCTAATGATTTTTGGCATAAAAGAAAAATCTATAATTTTGACCCATACAATGTATTGTTGGCTATTGCTACAAATATACCCCAGCGACTTAACACTGCTTTTGTGCTGCAGGGTCACATATGATTATGCCATCTATTTATTGAATTATTCTATTCTAATATTTATTTTGATCTCGTTTGTATTGTTTCATTCCATATATTTTTTATTTATCTTATTTCTTTTAATATTTTTATTTATTTATTTATATTACATTTTTTACACTGTTTTTCTAAAAACGCCCTTCATAACGTGTATTCGGAGGCCTTTCTGTCTATGCTGATATTTACCTCTGCTACCTGTAATCAAAATAAATAATTAAATAATACATACGATATCAGGTTGAGCTCAACACGCTGTCTCTGATGTTGTGTGTGTTGGTGTTTTGAAGCTGTAGTTTTGGGGAAACAGTGTTGGGGAAAGTTATTTTTAAAAGTAATGCGTTACAATATTGCATAACTCCCTAAAAAAATAACCAATTGCGTTACTTTTTATGGAAAGTAATGTGTCGCATCACTTTTGCGTTACTTTGTGTCACCTTGACTGGGCTTTCTTATTTCTTTCTTAATAACAAAAAAAACTAAAGTTATATTTTTGGCAACTGTAAAGGCCCTTTCACACCAAAAGTGAAATGAATAATCTTCAGTCTGAGGGAAGAGTCTCTGATTTCTCAACATGAGGACAGAAGAGCTCTCAGTCAATACGTGAGAAAACAAAGTAACTGGCGTTACGCGTTTGAAAAAGTAACTCTGGTATTTCATTGCAAATTTAAAAGTAATGCATTACTTTACTAGTTACTTGAAAAAAGTAATCTGATGACGTAACTGATGAAGACTGAGACACATGAGGTGAGCTTGACTTGTCTGATTATCATCTGTCTCTGTGTGTCAGTGACTGGTCCTCTGTCAGAGCAGCAGATCGCTTACATCTGTCGAGAGATGCTACAGGTGACAGACTCTTCACACTTCAAATCACATGATTATAACACGGCACACTTATTTAAGAGACGCCTGCTCTCTCTCTGTCAGGGTCTTGATTATCTTCACGGACAGAAGAAGATCCACAGAGACATCAAGGTAAAGTCTCTTCACACACTTCACCAGCCAGTCGTCTCCGTCAGCGCCGTTTCAGTCAGTCACTCAGAGTTTGTGTTTTCCAGGGAGCAAATATTCTTCTGAATGATCATGGAGAAGTCAAACTGGGTTCGTGGAACGACTGAAAACCATTAAACCTGTCTTACTCGGTCTCTGTCTGTCTGTCTAACGCTCCTCTGTCTCCTTCTCTCTGTTTTCAGCGGACTTTGGCATCTCGGCACAAATCACAGCCACTTTTGCCCGTCGAATGTCGTTCATTGGGACGCCGTATTGGTGAGATGAACCTCATGATCAGTTTCTGGCTCATTTTAGGCTTGTTTCAGAGACTTCTGACTAAAGCCGCAGCTAACAAGATATCCTCAGAACGTTTTTCTAACGTTCCCTTTAAGTTATGAAAATGTTATTTCTGAGTGAACTCTAAATGTTCTCTGTTCTCTTGTGGTTTTGCAAACATTACATTTGAACATTCTGAAAGAAGTAGAAACATTAAAAAAAAAACATTAGACAAACGTCCAAGTAAAATATTCAGAAAAACGTTCCATGAATGATGTATAAATAATAATGTGCTAACATTTTAAGAACCTTATTAAAGACCAGATAACTCTGAGTTAACGTTACTGGAGGCACATTTCATAACGTTGAGAGAGTGCTGGGTTTGGGTTAACACTAGCAACACCATGAGTTCAATTCCCACAGAAAGCAAAAACTGAATGCAATGTAAGTCACTTAATCTGCCAAATGCACTCATACAAATGCAGCTTGCTAACATATTTGGCTTGGTTTGTCCTCAGGATGGCTCCGGAGGTGGCCGCTGTCGAGATTAAGGGCGGCTATAATGAGCTGTGTGACATCTGGTCTGTGGGAATCACAGCGATTGAGCTCGCAGAACTACAGCCGCCTCTGTTTGATGTTCATCCTCTCAGGTACACACTACTGAACTGAATCAACATCAAACTGATTTGAAGGAATAGTTAATGCAAAAATGAAATTTGCTGTAAATGTGCTCACTCTCAGCCATTCTGAGATTAGGATGAGTTTGTGGAGAAATGTAGCACTGCATCAGTGTCTCAGCAATGGATGCTACTGGAGGAAGCGTTATTATGGATTATGGACTCTATGGTATTTTAGTTAAAAATGTCTTAATGCTGGATTAGTTTCAGCTTTTGTCTTCTCCAGATGTTAACTGATGGACTGGAGTGCTGTGGATTACTTGTGGATTATTGTGATGTTTTTATCAGCTGTTTGGACTCTCATTCTGACGGCACCCATTCACTGCAGAGCATCCGTTGCTGAGACACTGATGCAATGCTGCATTTCTACAAATCTGATGAAGAAACAAACTCATCCTAATCTCAGATGGCCTGAGAGGGAGCACATTTTCATTTTTGGGTGAACTATTCTAAGCTGCTTTGAAACAATCTGTACTGTATAAAGCAATATATAAATCTTGTTATATAAGACTTGTCTGAGGTGAAGCCTCACACTGTTTGTGCTTCTGTTTGTTCTCTGGTTTCTCAGAGTTTTGTTCCTGATGTCCAAGAGCGGCTATCAGCCTCCCAAACTCAAGGACAAATCCAAATGGTGAGAGACTGAGATGTTCTTTACTAAAGTATCAGAGTCTGAGTGCAAACCGATCACTGACTGCTGATTTTGTTTCAGGTCCACCACATTCTACAACTTTGTGAAGTCCATGCTGATCAGGAACCCAAAGAAGAGACCCAGCGCTAAAAAGATGCTGATGGTACGTTTGCCAGCCGTGTGTGTTGTGTTAACAAGAAAGCATGTGTATGTGTTTAGCTGAACATTTATCACGTCTGGTTTCAGCATTTGTTCGTGACACAGCCGTCTTTGAGACAAGAGTTAACCCTCGAAATACTGGACAAACTCAGACACCCTGAGAAACTCAAAGAATGTTTACACACGGATGACGATGATTTGGAGGTAAGTACGCACACACACACACACTTGTGGGACAAATACATCTCAAACTCTCACTTGGTTCTCATAGACAGTAATGAGATTGCATGGAGCATGAATGGAGACTCAGGAGACTCAAATGTTTCTCTTGAAAAAAAGACCCCAGTGTCTCCTCTAGAGTTTCAATACAGAGCTCAGCAATGTCTCACACTGTGCTCTGATTTGTATAAGTATGCAATTAAAAGTCAGAGATCTCAATTTGAACTCATAAAGACAGTCCCTTGTTTAGTTCTTTAAAGAATCTGTCACAATATTTGTTCCTGAATAAATGAGTGTTTTTAACTAATCATCTGAATGAATGATTCAGTGACTCGCTCATAAAGACATACACAAGATTCATTCCTGAATTAATGTTTTGAACTAATCATCTGAATTAATCATTCAGTGACTCACTCATAAAGACTGTCACTTGTTTAGTTCCTGAACTAATCAGTGATATGAATGACTCTGCTGAATGAATGAATCAGTGACTCACTCATAAAGACAGTCCCTTGTTTAGTTCCGGAATGAATCAATGTTTTGAATGACTCGGTTAAATGAACGATTCAATGACTCACTCATACAAACTGTCACTTGTTTAGTTCCTGAATGAATCAATGTTTTGAATGACTCAGTTAAATGAACGATTCAATGACTCACTCATAAAGATAGTCCCTTGTTTAGTTCTTTAAAGAATCAGTGTTTTGAATGTCTCGGTTAAATGAACGATTCAATGACTCATTCATAAAGACTGTCACTTGTTTAGTTCCTGAACTAAGCAGTGATATGAATTACTCTGCTGAATGAATGAATCAGTGACTCACTCATAAAGACAGTCCCTTGTTTAGTTCTTGAATTAATCAGTGTTTTGAATGTTTCGGTTAAATAACCGATTCAGTGACTCACTCATAAAGACAGTCCCTTGTTTAGTTCATGAATTAATCAGTGTTTTGAATGTTTCGGTTAAATAACCGATTCAGTGACTCACTCATAAAGACAGTCCCTTGTTTAGTTCTTGAATGAATCAGTGTTTTGAATGTCTCGGTTAAATGAACGATTCAATGACTCACTCATAAAGACAGTCACTTGTTTAGTTCCTGAATGAATCA